CTCAAAGTCTGGAGAGTATCTATTTGGTGGGTTGCCACGATTATTTTTGAAAGGTAAAACACAACCAATAGAAGCATCCAAGTCATTAGTATGTAAAGGTGTAGTGGGAGAGCTTAGCTTAAGAATATTCTCAAGAGAAGGGTCTTCGGGTATTGAAGAGTAAAGGATTTCATTTTCAGATTCTAATGACATAGATTCAACTCTTTCAAATTCAGATGACATAGATTTAACTCTTAGAGACATATTGGTATCCATTCTTGGAGAGATATCAACATCACCATTCATTTCCTCACCGACTATCATTCCATCTCCATTACTCATTGATGCTGAATTTTCTTCAAATCTTAGCCATTCAAACCTGTCCAATTCTGCATTTCATCTCACATCTCCTTTAAAGAGATGAATTGGATATCGATGATGGAAAAAAGGTGTTTGACTTTAAAAAGGTAACATCCATAGTGATATAAGTGTGCTTGGCGGTAGGGTTATAGTAATGATAGCCTTTTTTATGTAAGTTGTACCCACAAAATATACAATGGACTGCGTAAGGATCTAGCTTAGTTTGTTGATTTTTATGAAAATGAACAAAAACGCAACCATAAACTTAAGGAGGAATTAGCAAAACAGTAGGCAAGGAAACGTGATTAGAAAGCACCTGTAGGTTTTAAAATTAAAGATGTTTAAAGGCATCCGATTCAATAAATGTGTTGCCATGGCAACAACGTCATCCTAGTGCTTACTAAGTAAATTTGCTCTAATCAATAGTGCACATGCTGTCTCTAAGATATGATGATTCTTCTTTTCGATTATGTCATTTTGCTGTGGGGTTTGAAGGTATGAAATTTCATGTAGAAGACCATGGCTCTTGAGGTAAGCTTGAAATTGTTGATTAACATATTCACCACCATTGTCAGAACAAAGTATTTGAATTTTAGTTACAAATTAGATTAAAATCATTGCATGAAAAAGATTGAAAAACACTAAGTACCTCATCTTTATGTTTCAACAAGTAAAGCCAAGTATCTATAAATGTCACAAACCAACAAATGCTAGAAGAAGTAGTAATTGGAAAGGGTCCCCACACATCTTACTGTATTAAGGCGAAAGGGATATCACTTTTATTCAAGCTTACTGGATAAAGAACTTTATGACTTTTAGCTAAAATGCACGTATCACATTTAAAATCTAAATTATGTAAATTTGAAAATAAGTCAGGAAAGAAGTGCTTCATATAATTGAATGACGGATAGCCCAAACGACAATGCCATAGCCAAATCTGCCTCTCCTTGACACTAATCGTATGTTGCACGTTATTGGCTTTACCTGTATTAAAGTCGTCCATATAATACAATCCCCCCCTCTTAGCACCATGCCTAATGACCTCCTTGGTGAGAATATCTTGAAGAAGACAAAAAGTAGGATATATAAGTACCATACAATTAAGTTTTGTAATAACTTGACTTATAGACAATAATTTATTTGAGAGAGATGGAATTAGTAAAGTATGAGATAAAGAAAGAGAGGGTGATAAAGCAACAATTTCAGCCCCTGTTACTGGATATGTGACACTATTAGCATTAGCAATACTCACTTGCCTTGGTTGAGTGATCTCTGAAAAGTCATGGGAGTTGAATGTCATGTGGTCGGTTGCCCCTGAGTTGATTATCCAATCACTATCATCACGTTTGTTAGAGCTAAGTAATGCTTGACCATAGTTACCTTGATTATTAAGAGTCGTTGAATCACTTAAAGATTCTACTTGTTGAGTGAAGGATAATTGAGTTTCACCAGTTACTAAGGCAGCTCTACCCAAACCTCCATCAAAGGTAGTGGCTCCACGGTGTTTTCATGCCTTAAGTTCATTCCACTAGTCTGAATACCCATGTAACTTAGCAAGTTTTATGGGTATGTTTCATGTTTCCAAAATGAGTACACCTCTTCATTCTGATTGTAATTTAGCCTTGAAGGTTGCATTTAACTTTTCATTACTCATAGAAAGAGACCTTGTTTTTGAAAGTGGGTGTTGCTGTCCTATCTTGACTCCTTTAAAAGCCATAACAGCATCAGTTGTAGTTTCTATGCCTGTTATCATTATTGCCTACATAATATCTTTTCGTAGAACGTGAGCATAAGCTTGTTCAATTGTTGAAAACGGTTTCAACTGTAGCACAACACTTTGAATCTTGTCCAGTCAGTCATCTAATCAATTAAGGAAGGTACATACTCTATCTTCTTTTAAGATGGAATTATATTTCTGTATATCAACAACACATTCCATCATATTACGATGATCGAAGTCAATTTCTCTTTACAAGCCTTGAAGATCATTGTAATATATTCAATGGATCCTCCAGCTTGTCTCATTTTAGCCATCTGTCTCGTAGATCATACACTTCGAATTTGTTAATCCCATCAAAATAATTTGTAGCAATAGAATCCCATACTGTTTTTGCAATTGGAAAGTAGATGAAATTGCTGATCAAGATTGGATCCATAAAGTTGATCAACCACTCTTTACAATTGCATTCTCAATTCTCCATTTTTGAAATGTTAGGTCTGTCTATTGAGGTTGTGGAAAATCTTTGCTTGAGATATACATCTCAACAACTTGGGACCATAAGGCATAGTTGGCGCCATCCAACTTAATGCTGATCTATGCAGTGAAGGAATCATTGCTTGATGCATGTGGTTGATATTGATTTCTGGTTAAAAACTCCATCATCCTTGTCGTCAAATCTTCTAAGATGGGGTTCGTATGGTTGCTGTTGTGTTTCACCACATCAGTTGGTTCCACCATGGTTTTAATCAGTTTTGGAATTCTTTTTTCTTTCAGGTTTAGTTGTAATAGAGGTCTCAGGATGTTGCTCTGATACCATGTTAAAAGGTTTTCTAATTTCATATTTTTTTATTACAGTGTTGAATATAATAATATAGGAGTACCAAGAAGAAGTTTAGGAAAACTATTTTGGGTTATTCATTTTCTAAGGCTAGTATTATGGTTGACCATTGAAAGAGAGGATTTTAAAGCAAACTGCTTCTATAATCTCTCCACTTTGTTTCCAATTGACAAGCCCTTATGCCAACATAAGTAGGGTATTTGACTTCTTGAATAAAGCTAGCTTCAATAAACTTATTGACCTCAATCTTGATTTAGGAAATCAAGCTATGGTTAAAACTACGTTGAGCTTGTTTGATAGGTCGAACACCTTTTGTTTACAATCGAATGATGCACAACAACTTTAGGATTAAGTTGTTGAAGGGGTTTTCCATGGGTTTGAAGTTATTGATCCCTCCAAAGCTAAGGCATTGTATATTGTCTTAAAAGAAATTCATATTCTCTTCAATATAAGCTTTGCCAATTAGGCAAACGATAGGGGGAGCTGTTTGAGTATGATTCCATGTATAGCAGCCAAATGTGAAAACTAAAAAAGAAAACATAGTGCATAAAGAATTAATGATAATATAAGAGAGAGAGAAAGAGAAAGAAGGTCTTGGTACTTATTAATTGCCAACAATTTTTTCTTTTTATTTCTTATTTCTTAAATGGTTATATTATGTTATAACTTTCTTTTGTTTTCTAAGTAAACTATGTTGATCGTTGTTCCAATTCTTGGCAGCTTCCAATATAGAGTGCAATATTGGATAATAGTCATGATAAAAAAAAACTCAGCTGCATAATTGTGTGTAATAGTCTTGGATTTAGAAACAAATAGACTATCGATTTACTTTTCAAAAAAAAAAATTAGACTACCAATTTGATAAAGACCACAAGCATTCTAGTAGTAAAGAGAAAAACCAAGCCATTTTTATCACTTTTTCTAAAAGTAATCTTTTACAGTTGCTTTTTTTTTTGGGGGGGGGTTAGTACAATGATGCTAATTGTCCATAAACACAAAAAAAAAATCTAAAATTTTTAAATAAGAAAATGAGATAAAAGGAGTAATTAGTTAGAGTATATGGGTTTTTATTGTAGACATAAAATTTATTTAATTTTAATAATTTTATTAAAATATATATTTTTTAACTTACACATATATATTTCATACCTTTATAGTTTAATGTTAGCTGATTGAGAATCGATCAAATCATGATTTACAAATATATTTTTTTTAAAATTATTATTATGAAACTCAAATATTATATTTAATAAACCACATGCAACAACAGATGTGTAACATAAATTAAACTAGTAAGACATAAAGGAGCTAAGTTATTTGTGAGGTAGATCTTGATGAATAAGTTCAACTAAGTTCTAGCTTTTCAATCTTCAGCTCGAGTGACTCTCAAGCCTAATTGAGTTTTTAATTTTTTTAATATTTTATTTATGTAAACATATAAAATAAAAGATATTCACATGTTATCTTAATTATATAAATTTTAATTATTGCAAGTTCTAGGTCAAGTTCAAGATAAATTTGAGTATTTTATTTTAATTGATCATAATTGCAGTTTAGTCAAATTGAGCTTAAATAGTTGGATTATTTTTCGAATCTACACAAAAAAAAAAAAACAAAACAGCTTGCCATTTAAAGTTACTTAACTTAATTTATCTTTTCAATTTAATATTACATTTGATACACTAACAATTTGTATAATCTATGAGAAAATTATTTTTAAATTTTCAAAGGTAACTTAATTTATAATTACATACTATATTACATCTTTAAATTAAAAGCAATTTGCTTGTTATCGACCGACAAAGTCTGTAAGAGTTACATCATTCGACGAAAATCTATCTTCATTACTGGGGAAGGAGTTAGCATCTTGGTTAATTTGTCTTTCAGTGAAAGCAGGTTGTTTTGGAGGAGGAAGATCCACAATCTCACTATTAAGCATGGAAACTACTCTTGACATTGTAGGCCTATCTTTCGCAAATTCTTGAACGCATAACAATCCC